TGTGGCCTGAGTCCATCTGTCTGCCTAGAGAGCCCTGAACACACACACACACACACACACACACACACACACACACACACACACACTGTTACATTTAGCTTTTATTGGTCACACTGGAACATCAAACCTGGCTCCTCTGCCAACACCACTCATCTGTTCGAGTCCTGGAGCGAGGGGATGTCTTCCAGGAATCGGTGCACCGACACACACACATTTTCACACAGCATGCACAATCATCTTAACTTTAGGCTTGTGAGCACATGCAGCTGTGTGTGAGTGTGTGTGCTGGGAACTGCAAAGGGACTGGTTCTCATACTGGCTCAGTTTAACAACCGTTTGGTTGGAGATTAGATCTAAATCAGTCTGCAGCTGAAACGGACACCAGTGATTTGGACGAGTTCTCCTTTTCTTCCTGTGTGGCACACAGACAGGTCAGTAACACATGGCAGTGGAAAAACTGGGAGTAAATGAGGACGCTCTATTGGCTGAAGCCCCCCATGCTTGCTTGCAAGTTGACCAATCAGCTGCCAGAACTCCAGGAAGCTGAGCTCTCCATCATTGTTCTGGTCCAATGAGCTCATGAGTTGGTGGACACCATGGGGGTCACCAGCATTCTGCAGGAGAACAGGAAATGTGTGAGATAATAAAAATTAACTCTGACGTCCAGCAGGCGACCCCGTCCAGCTGGAGTGGTTTGGAGGACAGAAGCCCCCCCACGTCAGCACACACACAGGAGGACATCAGCAGAGGCGTTGGGCTCAAGACCCACTGGCTCTGTCACCATCTTGTGGCAGAAGGGATCATCTCAGCTGTGAATCAAAGAGGAAACACGTGGAATTTTCCACAGTTGGAAAAAAGGCAGACTTGTGTCTGTTAGGCCTCGTGAAGCGTTTCCTGGGTGAAGATGATCACAAGGATGGAGGCAGGAGGAGCTAACGAAGGCTCTATGTATTTTTACATGTGAAGCACGAGCATTTAGAATAAAGAGCTGACTCCTGTTGAACGTTTGCTCTGATGCGATCGAGTCTAAATCCATGGAACAGCTCCTTCACTAACTTACTGTGGGACTTTAAAAACACTCAAAGTCCAGCACTTTATCAGCAAACACCTCAGAGCTCAAAGAACCTGCCCGAACGTTCCAGAAACATGAACCTTTAACCCTTACTGAACTTTCACATCATTTCCAGAAAGAAAAATTGGACACTTCAAAGAAAACTATTCTTAAAATTGAATAAAAACGTATAAATAAATTCTGCATTTATTGTAAAACAGCAGCGTGTTCTGTCACGTTTGGTGCCCGGCGAGTTAGGACCCACAGGTTTCAGGAGCTACTTATTTTTAGAACATTTTGACACGTGGGCCAAAATGTCCTGGATTTATAAATATATATTTATTGTTTCTTTGGATTATTTTTTGTCTTTTGAAACTTTCATCAATAATGTAAACAGCATTTTAGTGACAGGACAAGAACATGTTCATTTTGGTGCAAAATTAGTTCTAAAAGTTACGCTAACAATTATTTATCTTTTGTTTAAGGAAATCATTCAGTTCCGTTGATTCGTTGGTTCGATTGTTTTTTTGTCTTCTTGTGCTTGGGAAGTACATTTTATTCTAATCTCAAGAACAAAAGCAAGATATAAGTTACTTCTTTAAAAAGCATTGTTTAAAAGGGGTTGTTTGGCTCGGCCGTGGATATTTGGACTGAAGATTTTGTCGGCTCGCAGTTCAAAATTTTTATTTTATTCATTTTTGCTTGTTTAACAAAATATTTATAAAATGTCACCCACAAAATCTGTAAAAAGCTCTTTCTACATCAATCTTTCAAGTCCATGTGCCAAATTATACCAGTCTTAAATTGCAGTTGCGGGCCGCACACAATCTCTCAAAGGGCCGCAAACGGCCCATGAGCCTCACTTTGGATATTGTGTTTTACTACAAAACAAAACTGAGAAGCAAAGAAAATGAAACATGCATGAAGAAACAAGAAGAAACCTGGAAAAGTGTGTGGTTAGAAGGCTGATTATGGAGTAAGAAGAAGTGTGCTAACGAACAAAGGAGGTATGAGAGAAACTAGAATGAAAGAATAAAGAGCTCAACTGAAACAGACAAAAATAAATACAAAAAACACAGTCCAAACAAAAAATTATAGATAACAAAACCCATAAAAACCAAAAACAGTTATTGTAAACAAGAAAACAAAAGACTGAAAAGATAAAATAACTGTTTTTTAAAAATGTTGCATCATGGAAAACTTTATAGATGATCTGAAAACAGATCAACAACAAATAATCACAGAAAGGTTTTTAATCATCTAATCAAATATAGGGAAGTTACACCAATCAAGATTATATTAAACCAAGCATAAATTATTTCTAACTTAAGTAAATCCTAAAAAAAATTCCCAAAGAGCTTTTTTTGTTCTCAAAGGACAGGACAGAAAAATAAAATCTGAACGTTTATAGTGATCAACGATAAAACACAGAACCTGAGCTGTAGCTCATAATAACAGGACTGAAGGGAAACGCTCGCTTCTTTGGATTAACATATCTATTAATTTATTTATTTTATCCAGAAAGACCATCTGCTTCATGAGCTGGAAAGTCAACACATGTAGTTTTAATAAAATAGACCACTTTCTACTCTACAAAATAAATAAATAAATAAATATCTTCGTCTGACTTACAATCTTTGTAACTACAATTAAAACAGTCCGGTGCATCGCAGCAGTTCTGTTGTTCAGTACCTCGATGAAGCGGGGGAGTTCTGATTTGACAAGTCTGCAGAACTCATCTCAACTCAGCGTCTTAACGGACCTGTCGCTGGCAGAGTATGCCTTAAACTGGTAAATAAGAACACCAGTGGCTGACTCCATCATGAGCTGAAAGAACAGGAAGAAAGAAGGAAAGAACAGAAAGAAATAAAGAACAGAAAAACAGCAAGAACGAAGGGAGGAAAGAAAGAAAGAAAAGAAAGCAAGAAAGAACAGAAAAAACAGAAAGAAAGAAGGAAAGAACAGAAAGCAAGAACAGAAAGAAAGAACAGAAAAAGAAAGAAAGAAAAAGAACAGAAAAAAAAAAGAGCAGACAGGAATAAAGAATGAACAAAGAACAAACAGAAAGACAGAAAAATGAACAGAAAGAAAGAACAAAAAAACAAAGAAAGAAAGAATGACACAAGATGGAAAAAAGAACAAAAGAAAGAACAGAAAGAGAGAAAGAAAAGGCAGAAAACAAGAAATTCTGTCAGTTGTAAGAACATTACCACAATTTCAAAACAATATGTTTCCATGCAGGAGAACTGGCGTCTTTTCTTGGACAGGGTCAGTTCTGAAAAGACAAAGAAGAGACAGAGACCTCACCTGCTCAGGTGTGTTTGACTGATGCGAGGACAGAGTCCTTCCTGCTTTTATAGCCCAACTGTCCCAGTAAAGTAGATTAATCATTGGTGTTAAACCTTTTTCCATTTCCTCTTCTAGATACTCTACAACTACAGCCTGTAACAGAGTTGTACATTACAGGAAGTATGATGATGAAAGGCCTAGCAGTCCAAGAAGAAATGTCGCCCGCCACCTTTCATGCCACAGTTTTAAACTGAGATCATCTTATGTTGAAAAGTTCAAAATGTTTCAGTCAAACCTTCAAGCATGGTCTCCAGAGTAACTGTGAGATCCCACAGGGAAGTGTCAGAGTATGTGCTGAGGACGACTCTCAGCTACTACCACACTAAATTTTAGCTGAACGCCTGTAAAATTAACAGAATTACAGCTAATTTTGTGTTTCCTAAGACTGACTATCTCTGGTGTTCACCTTGAATGGAATCACCTCCAACACTGAATCAGTTGTAGACGTACACAGTCCACTGCTTCATGAGATATTAGGCTAAAAGACAGATGAAGACACACAGACAAGGACAAAGACAACTTTAAAAAAAAAAATTTAAATTGGGGTAAAGAGGATTAAATATATTACAACACATACCCACAAATCTCTACTTTTCATGTTCTACTCAGTTCTGGTCCAAATCCATGAAGAATGGCTTCATTGAAATCCTTTCTGTGGCCACGTTGCCACAGAGAGACGGAAAGAAAACGTAAATCACTTCTAATCGTACACTGTACTGAAGTCTGAACTGCAAAAACCTTTTGGAATGGGGCACTAGGGCTTCATTTCATTTGAGCCCAAACTGCAGCAGGATGTGCAGAATTGGCACATTAGGGAAGCAGTTAGAGCTAACAAGGCGTCCAAACATCTCCACTCCTCATTTTCCTGTCTCCGTGGTACGGCACAGCCACAGAAACGCACATCTGTATCGCTGTTAGCTGAAACACTGGCACACAGAGCCCCACGGAGGAGGGCAGCAACTAACAAAGAAATAAAAGGCTGATTTGGAAAAGTGAGAATTGTTCTGCTGCTTCCTCGAGACGAAGCTGCTTCCTTACCGGGGGTTTATCTGCGAGCAGGGACTCGTTTTTATTGAAAGAAGACGAGAAGCTTCTCGAGAGAAGCATCACAGCAGAAGCAGTGGAGTTCAAATTATTTTGAAGCACAAATGAAGCAGCAGAACAGAAATGTAGGTGTACAGTACTTGTAAACCATTTTCCACTTCATCCTGTCCAAACCCTGCAGGTTGACTCTTCATCACAACACACACACACACACCCCACTTACAACCTCACACTTTAAATCACTAATCAATCTGACATGCATGTTTTTAGTCGCGCAGAAAGTTTCCAGCTGATTTGAACCTTCTTGGTTTTAAAAAAAGGATCAATATGTCCAGGACTTTGTGGACTTAGACTTGTCTAAAGCTTTTGACACTGTGTGGACCATGACATTTTATGCCATAAGCTCTCAGAAATTGGTTTCTCAGACCATACTAGTTGATTTTCTAATTATCTCTCAGATCGGAGGTAAATGTGTTCAACACAATGATACTTCTTCCAGTTATTTAGCTGCCAACTCTGGCGTACCACAAAGCTCAGTCTTAGGACCCACACTCTTTACAGTCTACATACAGTAAATAATGTAGGTCAGATCATTCCTGATGCGTCCTTACATTTCTATGCCAATGACAGTTGTTTATTATCGAGCTAAATCAGTTGCTAAGATTTTCCAGCTTTTACAGTCTGCGTTCGACATCATCCAGTCTGATGTGTTCCGTCTCAAACTTGTGGTAAATGCTGATAAAACCAAAGGGATGTTGTTTTCAAACAGGAAGTCGGTACCAGCAGTCCTTCCTTCTATCTCATCTACGAATGGTGTTCCTATTGCGTTTGTGGACTCTTACAAATACTTGGGTATCTTGGTCGATGCACATCTCTCTTTTAAGGCTTATGTCAAAAAACTTGGTAAAGAAATTGAAAGTAAAATTGTGTTTCTTTTTTAGAAATGATCCTGTCTAACACTGAATGCTAGGAAACGCCTTGACTTTTCTTCCTTCTACTGACTATGGTGACATTATTTATATGCATGCTCTTGCAAGCACCTTGCAGATGGTGGATACTGTCTACCATAGCGTGCATGCTAAGATTCATAACTGGCTGTAACTATCGTACCCATTGCACCTTATATTCACTGGTTAACTGGTCATCATTAACTTCATACAGACTCTCTCACTGGTACATTTTCATCTTTAAATCACTTCTTGGTCTGTTGCCTTCATACATCTCTTCCTACATGTCACGTCATCAGGGCAGCTACAGCGTGCATTCTCAGGACATCATTACCTGCAGTGTCCCCTCAGCATGGACTGAATTCAGCAAAAGGGCCTTCTCTTACTCTGCTCCTGTTTCCTGGAACACCTTGCAATAAGATCTGAAGCTGTCCACTTTGACCTCTCTAAGGGATTTTAAATACCTGTTAAGTTCAATGCAAAAGTCAGTGCAGATGTTCCTGTTTTTAGTATTTTACCTCGTTCCATAATGTAGCTTGTTTTTATTTTGTATCACAATTTTGATTTAGTTTTCATTTTATATGTATTTATAACCAGGTCTCTCTTGAAAATTAGCCCTCATGACTCAATCAGACTAACTTCTATAAATAAAGGTTAAACGAATGAAAATTCATCTTGTGCAAAAAGCTAATAATTTAACAGACAACATGTCACTTCAGCTTTAAACTGCTTCAGTTAATATTTAGCAACGTGGACTTTGTAAATAACTAATTTAAAGTGAGGCTAACTTACTCCCAATAAACCATTTTTCTACGTTAAAATACTATGGGGTGCCATTTGTAAAGTTACACAGTCAAAAATTAACATCAATATTTTGGTTTATTTAGCCTTTAATAAGAAAAAAAATAGTTTTTTCCCCCCCAAAGTCATATTTTCACCGTGTTATTCATACATTTATAAATGCCATGGTTCCAAACTAAATATTTAATTTTCAAGCTAAATATTTAGTTTACAAACTAAATATGTCACTTGCAAGATAAATAATTAGTTAGTAAACTAAATATTTTGGAGCGAATTAAATATTTAATTTCCAAGCTAAATATTTACTTTCTACGTTAAATATTTAATTTCCAAAGTAAACATTTCTAAGTTAACCATTTAATTCCTAAACTAAATATTTAATTTGCTAACTAAATATTTAACTTACAAACTAAATATTTAACTTACAAGCTAAATATTTAGGTGAGAGTTAAATATTTAGTTAGCAAATTAAATATTTATTTTGGAAATTAAATGTTTAGCTTAGAAATTTTTGGAAATTAAATATTTAGCTTGGACAATAAATAGTTTGGAAATTAAATGATTAGTTTTTAAAATAAATATTTAGCTTGGAAATTAAATATTTAGTTTACATCTGAATATTTAGTTTAACTTGCAAGTTAAGTATTTAGTTTGTAAACTAAATATTTAGCTTGTAAATTAAATATTTAGTTTGGAATTATGACATTTATAAATGTATGAATAACATGGTGAAAATGTGACTTTGGAAAAAAAAATTGATATCTTATTAAAGGCTAAATAAACCAAAATATTGATGTTAATTTTTGACTGTGTAACTTTACAAACGGTACCCCATAAAATGCTAGAAACCCAAAATGGAGGAGCAACACATGAAGGGACTCGTTGCAAAGTTTGAAATCAATCCTGAACTATAGCAAACGGTGGTACAGGCAGTTTGCTCCAGTAGTTTTCCAGATGTACTGATGTGCAGGTATGCACTCAGTGTAAACAAAGCAATTGTTTGAATTGAAAATCCAAACTTTACTGCCATTTTTTTTCCTCATAGAAAATGAACTGAGCTCATTTTACATCCTTTAAATCTTTAGATCTGTTTACAACCTTTTACTGCTCCTTTCATGTTTTGCTCTGATTCAACTTCTTTCAGCTTCCTTGTGCAAACTAAAAAAGTCAGCTACTTTCAGCTGATTTGTGCTCCTTTCAGGTTATTATTCTATAACTGCAACTTGTTTGTGGTTCTTCTAACTTCTTTCTGCTAATTTCTGCTTATTATGCTCCTTTCAGCTTATTTCAGCAAGTTTCAACTATTTAGCTGTTTTTATGCCAATTTTAGATTTTTCAGCTTATTCCACTTTTTTAGCTCATTTCAGCTCTTTCTGGTAGTTTAGTTTTTTCTGCCATTTCAGCTACTTTTCAGTTGTTTTATTTTATTGCAATTTCAGCTGTTTTAGCTAATTTCTGAATTTTTGTGCTCATTTCTGCTTATTTAACCCTAATTCATCAAATAAACTTCTTCTGCCAATTACGGTGTGCTCTTCCATATCAACTACAATTCAGAATATTATTTTAGCTACTTCCAGCGGTTTTCCTGCAACTTCTTCAGTAAAAAGCATTCACACAGCTTTTTTGCAGGAAATGCAATTTCTCTAGTCTTATATTTATTTATAAGTTTTACAAAATCAGCCCTTCCTGTTGGCTGTTTTGCCAGTATCTCCAACGATGCTAGGTCCAGACGCTGGCCCTCTCTGGTTATGGCTCCAGTCCCTCCAGTGAATCCCAGCATCACGTGAGCAACTCCAGGCATAAACTCCATCGTATGTCCTGTAAATCATCTCCGAGGTGTTTTAACATGAAGGCCTCTGACTTCATCGTTCACGAGTTCAACGAAACAAAAAGGGCTTTAAGCTGTTGGTGTTGTTGGGAGAGTGGGGAAAGAAAGAATGCTGCAGACATCACATGAACACGCCTGAGGTTTGTTGTCTGCGCAGATGAGAGCAAACCAGAGCTGATTAAATTACGAGCTCATTTGGAGAACAAAACTGGAAGAACACGAGCTCAACAACGTTTGGACGATTAAATTCTGCCTTTTTTTTTAACGCAGTGCAAACGATTCAGGTTTCAAGGAGCAACTCGTGGGAAAAACCAACATCTCGGTGTCTGAGGTTTTAGTTGAATTTTCTTGAAATGTGAACAGATCAGTTGCTGACTGGAAAATAAAATAAAAATAAAACTTTTATATGTTTAACGGAGATCAATTTTAGGCACCAATTATTTGTTGCTACCTCTTGTTTTTGTTTAAAAAATAAAAAAAGACAAAGTTCAAGTTTTTCCACCAAACATACGTGATGAATTTATTTGCTTGCAGCTGTAACAAAAGCTCAAAAAAAAAAAAAAAAAAAAGCCTCCAGTCAGTTCTACAGAAAACACTCCCGTAAACAAAGAAAACTATTTTAAAACTTTTAAAAAAAAGCACCTAATCAACAAAAACAAGACATTTTAGTGCACAACAGAAGGTCTGTACCTGAAAATAAATAAACATGCTCAACATGTGGCCGACAAACTTCGTTTTAAATAACTTCTACAAGTCAAATAGTCAACACGTCTAAATCCAGAAAGTTTTGATCAAACACAATATGGATGCAAAATGTACAAATAATGTGATGCAAACATGAGTTTTATGCGAACGAGGGCTTTATGAACGAGCTGCTACAGATGTTGATCAGTGCACACGACAAACAGCGGGCGGTTAAACAGGAGCCTTCACAGCAGCTGCACTTCATCACATTTCAAATCATTAGAGATTTCTGGACTGAGCATCCGTCCGTTCACGTTTTTACTTCCACTGAAGGGAGCTGGTGCCCGTCTCCAATCATTCCTGTGAGGCGACAGCTTTAACCACTGGTCCACCGTGCGAACATTTGAATTCAGGAGGCGTGGCTCGCTCCGTAGGACGGCTCTGGTCAGTGTGTGAGTAAGCATCAAAAAGACAACGGGTGGACGTAAAGAAAGCGTCTCCGCTCGTGAAATGTAGATTTAAGTGTTCCCTCTGATCAAACCATCTGTCCCGTCGCTTCCTTCTCCTCCGTCAGCCTCGCTCCTGTCCGCTCTCCCTCCTCCTTTCCACTTTTATTCTCTTCTCCTTCTCGCCAGCACCCGGCACTGAAAACTTCTCCATCACTTCTTTTTCAAACTCCTCCATTTGCTCCTCCAGAGGACTGTCCTCCTCGTCCTCCTCGTCTCCTTCCACCAGGTCTTCCAAAATATCTCCCAAGTCTTCCACAAAGTCTTGAAAGCTCATCTGGTCGTGCACGAACACGCCGTCTTTAAAGAACTCGGCGGCGAGCTTCTTCAGCTCCCCGGTCCTGGACTCGTCCACGCCGGCCTCCTCCGCCGCGCTCAGGTAGGACTGAAGGACGTCCTGGAAGTCAGGGGAGGTGACAGGAAGCAGCCGCTCGCTCCGAGCGCAGCTCTCCGCTGAGCTGCAGCTCTGGGGGGGTCTGGGGTGGCGGCGGAGGCGGTCCCTCTGCTGGAGCCAGTACTCAGGGTGACCCACGGAGGGTCTGCGGTGGGAGTGGGGGGGGATTGGGTCAGCGTACAGGTGCTCCTCCTGGTGTTTGTTTCCTGCAGACCTGTGCTCCTTCTTGTTCTGAACTTGGTCGTTTTTAGGTTTTTTCTCTCTCTCTCCTCTCTTCCTGTCTTTCTTCCACTCATTCGACCTCTCTTCTTTCCTCATCCATTCTTCATCTCGCTTTTCATTTTTACTCTTCCTCTCTTCCGTCCCTGCCCTCTCTTTACCATGATGGTTGCCATCTTCCCACGGCTTCCGCTCATCTTTTCCTTTCCCTTCTTTACCCTGATCTCTGTTTTTAGCTCTCCACTCATCTTTCTTCCACTCTTTCTTTTCTCCCGTCTCCTTCCAAGCTTTCCTTTCCCACTTCTCTTTGTCACTTTCCTTCACTTTCTTCCAGTCCTTCTCTTCCTTCCACCCCTCCCCGCCTTCCTTCCCTCCCTGACGGTTCTTTTTCTCCTCCTTTCCTCTCCAATCTTTACCTTCGTTTTCGTCTTTTCCCTTTTTCCAGCCTCTCTCTTCCTTCTCCTCATGCTTTCCATCATCACCTCTACCAGGTTTCTCTCTCTTCCAGTCTTTCACCTCATCACTCTGCCTCTTCTGCTTACCTGCCTTTTCTTTCTCTTTATTTAACATTCCTTCTCTCCGTTTCTCTTTCTTCCATTCTTTTTTGAACTCCTTTTGTTCTCTGTCCTTCCTCGCAGACTTCTCTCCCTCTTTAGACAGGTTCTTCTCACTCGTCTCATATTTATCCTTCTTAAGATCCTTCTTTTCCTTCTGCTCATCCCAGAGCGTCCTGGTGTGTGTGGCTCCAGCGGGGGCCTGGCTGCTGTGTGCTGTCTGTCCAGGAGGGGGCGGTGTGGAGAGACTCTCCTCAGCTGGAGCTCTTTGATCCGCAGCTGGAACAAGACACAAAGGCAGTTTATTAAAAGTAGCAAAGAATATTGGATTTTTTTGGACTATAACGGAGCATTACGCGAAACAAAACTGTCAAATAAGTCGAACTTTATTCGACTCATTCACAATAACCACATAAAATCGGTTTGAGGTCATTAAGCACAGAGTTAATACATAAGGTGCACCCGATTATAAGGCTCACTGTCGATTTTGGAGAAAATTAAAGGATTTTAAATGAGTCTTACAGTCTGAAAAATACAGTAATGAAAACAGACTAAATTTCTATAATCTCACTTATTTTTTTGTAACACTTATCCCTCTATTTCCCCCCTCCACCCCACCCTGCTCCTCTGTACCTGAGGAGAGTTTGAATTTTGTCACAGTGGACCTCAGGGTTTCTAGCTCTTTCTGTAGGGCCGGGACGGACTCCAGCTCTTTCTTCATCCTGTCGTTCTCTTTCTGAAGGACAGGGAGAGACGCCACCTCTGTCTTCAACCTACTGTTTTCCTTCTCCACCTCCTCCCAGAGCAGCCGCTCTTTGACTCCCTCCGCTGCCTGTTCCTTCGCTACTTTTAGCTCCTCTTTCTGTGCCTGCTTAAAGAAAGAGAGGAGGTGGGGAGGAGAAAAGGGTCCCAGGTGAATGTTACAGTCTTGACACATTTGTGTTATGTACTATGTGTATTTATGAAGAACAGCAGATTGGAGTCACACCTGAAGCTGGGCTTGCAGCGCAGAAATCTGCCGGCTTCCTTCGTCCAGCTTGTTCAGGAGCTCTGAGCTGCCGGCGTCCGTGTGTGGAGGAACCACCGGACTGAACCACTCCTGTGAAAATGTCCAATGGATTGGGAACATTTGAAATCAAAGCCATATTCAGAGTGAGTTATTGAATTTTAAAAACTCACAAGCGAGAACAAAACGGGAAAAAGAAAACCAGAGTAAACACTCTGGTTATACAAATGAAACTGATGAGCACAGACAGAGCGGCGGGGGACTGACCTGTCTTCCTGCTGCCTCCGTGTCTCTCAGCTCGTTTGCAGCGTGCTCGCTGTCTGCAAATCACAAAGTCTGCTGTCATTCTGCACAGTTCAACTGACAGAAGCTTTACACTGACGAGCACATTTATACAGAAGCATGGGAGTTAAAATTATTAATTATTATTATTGTTTATCACAATAATTTCTGAAACAATTAATCACCCAGCAACAATTGTTATGGTGACAGGCCTAATCCTGGGAACTCCTAGTGCTCCCCCAGGAGGAGCAGGAGTGTTGCTGGGTAGATGGATGTGTGGGTTTCTCTCCTGGACCTGACCTGGCCATGGATAAGTAGTAAAAGATGGAGGCACGCAGAGTGAACTCCAACAGTTAATCCAAAGTTTAAAAACTGATCTTGTGCCATCAATTAGCGCTCCAAGAATAAGTTGGGGATGACATTCCACCACCAACAACGAGCAGCGGGTGATAAACGAAGGGTTGAATACAAATGTAACATTCTGTAACTTGTATTGTGGTTAATGTATAAAGGAGTTTTAATAACAATACATAAAAACAATAACAAATATCGCTCCTGCAGGATGAAAACACGCATTTAGAAGTGCAGAAAGCGGTTTTTTTATGCATCACGTGCAAAGTCTTTATCTGCATGCACATTCCCAAAAAACATGCTTTGTTAAAATAAATAAAATAAAAGGATTGACCCACATTAACATACACAAGAACAAACCAACCTACCCTTGTTCAGGTCCATGAAGACACCTGCAGGCACAACAAACCTCAGCATCCTTCATCCAGCTCACGGTGACTCGCGTCACGACTTATCGTTTATCATCATCAGTGGAAACATGACGACGAGTCAGGAGGTGATGCTTACCTGAGAAAAACATGGTGCCCAAAGCTAACAGAAGGACAGCTCCCAGGATGCACTTGTTCAGAGAGAAGATGCCACCGTTTTCCCGCTGAGGGTCCTGAAACTCTTCTTCCTCATCCTCTTCCTCTTCCCTTCTTCCAATCTGCTCCAGAGCTGCAAGGAGGGACTTCTTCCTCCTCTCCTCAGACTCTTTCTCTGCCGTCTCCTGCGTTCTGTCCTTGTTGACCTCTGAACCCACAGGGGCGTCTGAAACAATGAGTGGACAAATTTAATTTGGGTAAAAAAAAAAAAAAAAAAAACTTGGGTTCAGTTTTACATCTGGGCATCAAAACACCAAACACTGGTGCACATCTGGACACTTTCTGTATGAAATCATCTCATGTAGTTTTTAATTTTTAAGATCCTAAAGGTCCTACAGACCTCTGGTCAATTAAGGACGAACAACTTTGTGGCAGAGAACAATTCTCTGTGGAAAAAAATATTGACTTTTGTGGCTTATTCAACCTTTTATAGATATAAAGAGAAAAGGAAATTCAACAAAGTGTTATCTTTAATTTAGAAATGTAACTTTTGTATAGTTACAGCTGGAGGAAGCTGAAAAAGTAACATTGTGAGACTTTAAGATAGACTAGTAATGTATATCCACCCAACCGGTACATTTTTGAAATTACCAAATATGTTAGTGTACCACCCACCTTGATTTGTTGCAACATAACCAACAAACAATTCTCTTTGTTGCATCTATAACGGTCTGTGGCTTTTTGTTGGACTCAATTTAGTCCTTTAATATTCAACATAAAACAGTTCTGCAACTGGTTTGACCAAATTTCATGAAAAGGTCGACCTGCTTCATTTAAAATGTGCTTGAACTGATGGAGAGTTCTGTTTTTTTATTTTAATTAAAAATAAAAGATAGTTCTTGAATACCTTAAAATAAAGAGTGTGCACATTTTTTAAACAAACTATTTGCATCTCATTTGACTGCAGAGGAGTAACAGTAAAGGCTGAACGTGCTGGTCCTGACCTCCAGGTGTAAAGCACCACAGACAGGAAGGAGACTGGTCGTTTTACGGAGCAGTGAGACAGAAGCAGAACAAAAACCTCCATCTTCCCAACAGAACTTCAGAGTCAGTCCCTCTGAAGCCAATTTACTTCTGCAGGTGTCCTAACTGCAGTTTGTCTCATCATGAGGTCTTCATCATACAGACAGCCTCTCTCCAGACAACCTCATGGCCCAGATACCGAACACCTTCGGAACCAGAACTACTGCTACAAACAGACAATTACTTGGGCATGATATCAGAATGTAGAGATTCTGACCTGACCAGGGTTAGTTTGTGTTCTCACCTGCGTCAGCTGTCCATGGCTGCTGCTCTGACTCCTCCCCTTTCGGTTGTAGCTCCGGCTCGTTCCCCAGACGCACAGTTTCTTCTTCTTCTGCCTGTGTGAACTCTGCTTGTCCAGGAGGAGCTCCACCAAGAGGAGTTAGGAGGGTGTAGGAGACGGAGGATGATTTGGGGTCAGAGCCGGACTGTGCTGGTCCCTCAGCTTGTTCCTCCATGGGGATGATTTTATCACCATGATCCACGGTGTCAGAGACTTCAGATGGAGGAGAAGAAGAGGGCTGATCTGATTTTTCTTCTGATAACTGAGTATAAAAAAACAAAACAACAACATGTTAAAAAAGTTTCTGCATTGAGTCACTAAAAATAAACGCAGTGGTTGTGAATTATCTTTAGCCAAGTAGAGTTCTGTCAGAGCAGCTAACTGAAACAAGTTGCCTCCTGAGTTAGAGGTTCAACTGCGGACGAGCGACAAAAACACTCAGAATAGTTTATAATTAAAAACGAAAGATCAACTAAAACCAGGTGACAGTTTAAAAATGAGAGCTAGCACAAAACGTTCCCTGCCCAGTCAGAAACACACATTCAGCTAAAGCACACAGCTAAAAGTGTAGCTACAGAATACGCAGTCATGTTTTATTGTCTTACTGGATGGTCCCCCACGGGGAGTCCTCCTGCAGACGCTGCACTCTTTGCAGGCTGGCTCGTCTCTCCAGAACCTGCTTCCCCCAACAGACACAGAAGAGCAAGCATTTAGAGTTCAATGGTTTCCAACCATCACTCCATCCAAAGAAACAGCTTTGATTCTTGAAACCAGGACATGATTGAGCAGACATGAGCTGAATGACGTGGATTTATTTTTACCATCATTACGTTGTCTAAGGCACAAAAACTAAAGTATTTTTAAGTAGGATGGTAAGAACTGAATTAAAATAAAGATATTTTTCTGCATTTTTCCCAAATCGTGTCTGAAAACTAAATAAACACAACTTCATTAAAACGGAGCCAGAGTCCATGGTTTATTGGCTTGTAATTAATCTTTAATTAGCAGTTAATTAGAATAATTGTATTCTTTCTAACCTTATCAGCCTCCAGCGTTGATGTATTGGACTTTCAATCCTTTTATACAGTTGCTTTACTTAACTGAGATTTGTAGCCTTTTAAAGGTCTGCACACTGGAAACAAGTTTAGAGCGTTCTTTAATTAAACCTGAGGAGAATCGTCACCCTTACAGTTGTTTGTGAGATGAGAAGCTGCAGCACAAACTGGTTATACAGTGCCTTGTGAAAGTATTCGGCCCCCTTGAACTTTTCAGCATTTTGCCACATTTCAGGCTTCAAACATAAAGATATAACATTTTAATTTTTTGTGAAGAATCAACAAGTGGGACACAATCGTGAAGTGGAATGAAATTTATTGGATGTGTCAAACTTTTTTAACAAATAAAAAACTGAAAAGTGGGGCGTGCAATATTATTGGGCCCCTTTACTTTCAGTGCAGCAAACTCACTCCAGAAGTTCAGTGAGGATCTATGAATGATCCAATGTTGTCCCAAATGACTGATGATGATAAATAGAATCCACCTGTGTGCAATCAAGTCTCCGTATAAATGCACCTGCTCTGTGATAGTCTCAGGGTTCTGTTCAAAGTGCAGAGAGCATCATGAAGACCAAGGAACACACAAGGCAGGCCTGAGATACTGTTGTGGAGAAGTTTAAAGCCGGATTTGGATACAAAAAGATTTCCCAAGCTTTAAACATCCCAAGGAGCACTGTGCAAGCAATCATATTGAAATGGAAGGAGTATGAGACCACTCCAAATCTACCAAGACCCGGCCGTCCCTCTAAACTTTCATTTGGAACAAGGAGAAGACTGATCAGAGATGCAGCCAAGAGGCCCATGATCACTCTGGAAGAACTGCAGAGATCTACAGCTGAGGTGGGAGAGTCTGTCCATAGGACAACAATCAGTCGTACACTGCACAAATCTGGCCTTTATGGAAGAGTGGCAAGAAGAAAGCCATTTCTCAAAGATCTCCATAAAAAGTGTTGTTTAAAGTTTGCCACAAGCACCTGGGAGACACCAAACATGTGGAAGAAGGTGCTCTGGTCACATGAAACCAAAATCAAACTGTTTGGCCACAATGCAAAACGATATGTTTGGCGTAAAAGCAACACAGCTCATCACCCTGAACACACCATCCCCACTGCCAAACATGGTGGTGGCAGCATCATGGTTTGGGCCTGCTTTTCATCAGCAGGGACAGGGAAGATGGTCAGAATTGATGGGAAGATGGATGGAGCCAAATACAGGACCATTCTGGAAGAAAACCTGTTTGAGTCTGCAAGAGACCTGAGACTGGGACAGAGATTTATCTTCCAACAAGACAATGATCCAAAACATAAAGCCAAATCTACAATGGAATGGTTCACAAATAAACGTATCCAGGTGTTGGAATGGCCAAGTCAAAGTCCAGACCTAAATCCAATCGAGAATCTGTGGAAAGAGCTGAAGACTGCTGTTCACAAACGCTCTCCATCCAACCTCACTGAGCTCGAGCTGTTTTGCAAGAAAGAATGGGCAAGAATTTCAGTGTCTCCATGTGCAAAACTGATAGAGACAAACCCCAAGAGACTTGCAGCTGGAACTGCAGCAAAAGGCGGCGCTACAAAGTATTAACGCAAGGGGGCCGAATAATATTGCACGCCCCACTTTTCAGTTTTTATTTGTTAAAAAAGTTTGACACATCCAATAAATTTCATTCCACTTCAAGATTGTGTCCCACTTGTTGTTGATTCTTCACAAAAAAAAAAAAATTTATATCTTTATGTTTGAAGCCTGAAATGTGGCAAAAGGTTGAAAAGTTCAAGGAGGCCGAATACTTTCACAAGGCACTGTAGTTTTCAAATAGAAATCTGTGATGTGCACCATCCAAATCAGCCCAACAAGCATCCTGGTGTGTGCTAAATAAAAGCTGGTGCAGATGATTATCTGTTGATTTGGCTGCTGCGCTGCTCGTGTTGTGCTAAAAGAGATGCGTAAGTGTTAAAAGTGTTAAGATAAACATCGTGGCGTTGACTCAAATGTGACACCAACATGTTTAGGTGGCATTAAAGACAAGGACAGCAATGCAGGTTTGAAATAAATTACCTTAATTAATGACGTAAATGCAAAGTGTCTGCTGACAGATAATATTTTTATGTTCAGCCAAAAACGTCTGAACCACAAAAAATGAGCCCGTTTACAGTGAAAACTGGTTTATTTGATCCAGTCAGCTCCTAAATCTGTTTGTGTTATAGTTAAAACAAAAAAAGTGATTTAATGAGACTGTTGATCACTCGTATGCAGGGCTTAATTTGTAAACTGATTGACGGCAGAACCGCAGGCGGGTGACGACGTAGGATAACAAAAGATGCCATTTCCTGCATTTTGGTGTATTTTAACGGGTTGTCATGCATCAACATTTACTTACATTTGTAAACACTTAATAAAATTACTATTTGGAGAGGAACAGCAGGTTGTGTGTGAATGAGCAGCTCTGGTTCTGTCAGGTGTCCTAAACCCCCCTCCTCCCCTCACTTCATGGTTCTGAGCTGAACTCTTCTCCACTCCTGCTCCAGTCTCGTGGCACCGTTTGAAGCACCTGAAGGCTTCAGTTCTCTGTTGTCCAACTACGGACAATCCATCCATCCATTTTTTATTAAAGTAAATTGGACCGTCTTTGACATTTTGATCGCTGTTATTTTGACAAATTAGCGCTGTTTTGAAACGTGACATATAATGTGAATAACAGCAAACATTTCTCTCTTTGTATTTGTAATTTATTTTTTACAGTAAGCTTTTTGTATTTATCATGTCTGAAATGTAGCAGGAGTTCAGACACCTGCTGATGTTGTGCGCACTAGAACTGTCTGGAGACGTTTCTGTGCGTTACGTGCACTGTCTATAGGCTTTTATTTATTCCGTTGAATAAATTATCGTTTCTGTTTCGGGGGTCTGAGAGGAGGGGAGAAGAGGTGTTTGTCAGTGCGAAGTCCCACTGAGTAAGGATAATATTTGGAGAGGAGGAGAAGAGAAGGACTCTGCGCAGAATCTCTGTGTGTCATGTGACCATCTGTCCCTCCATCCTCACCCCCCACCACCTAGAGGCTCCTTGAAGGAGCGTGTGCTGCGGCTGGAACATCCACAGACTGGGTCCGCCTGGCTAAAGGCAACGCCTCCTCTCGCTATATTTTTAATAAATAATTAAAATAAAAATGCACCAAGACTTTGGACTTTTAGGGGGGGGGGGGGGGGGGGCGGCTGGATCTAAACAAAGAGGTACCGGAACAGAACGGGTCAAAATGAGAGAGTTCCCGGATCTTGTTCCGACAGGATCCGGCTCAAAGTAACCACTGCTCACGTGCAATAAACACGTGGCCTACGAGACACAGTGAGATGGAGGAGGACTCGTTGTGGTGGCCTCTAACAGGAGAACAGCAAAAAGACGAAGCAGCGGCTGTCTTTTTAGAGATTGAAACAAATAAACAGTGGCTCATTACTTTGTAAAGATGGCCGTTCGGCCTCACTCTCAAATAGCTTCACAGGATTAATAGCATTTTGTGACGACTACTCTTGTAGATTTGAAGCTTGCTGGATGACTTCCTTAGTCAGAACAATATTGTGCTGGTAAACAAGTAAATGCTTAATCTTCAGCTGAACAGTCTGTGGCACTTCAATCCATGCATCCACTGTTTGTTCAAAATAATTCAGTTTTATCGACTCCAATACAAACAATAAACCAGGACACCTGTTGAGGACGGATGGATTTCTTCATGCTGCTCTGTCCCTGCTGCAAAGGGCCTCAGGGTTTCAGCAACAGTTCCCTGCAAAATACACACCGACAACAGAGGACAGAAAGTTCATCAATACGAGGAAAGTCTGTGGAGTTTTATCAGTATCTTCCTCTTCAGCAACATCGTCCTTAAAACAGATCTAAAAATAGTGAGCATGTTAACGTATAAAGCCCCTAGAACTGTGGCTTACAGAGTTGCTTTTCTGGAAAAATAAAATGAAAATTTCAGACAGACTTGACAGAAACCTCATTTTTATCCAGGTGACCTAAAAGAAAGAAAAATCAAATTGGGGACAAAGAGCTTTCTTTTTAGAAATCAACTCAACGAGGTCACTTCAAGCTGCTGCACATCTTTTCATGCTCTTTATAAAACGGTCGTACCTCAGAGGAGAGAATGGTCCAGCTGTTGTTCGTACCGCTGCCCCCCGACATGGCCCGCTGAAGGCTCTGTCCCTCACCTGCAGCACAGCAACTGCATTAAAATAAAACATGGTTTGTGATTACTATTAGTTATATTAAATAAAATTATATATATCAAAAGGAGTGTGATGATGGCTGTCACTTCTTTCCAGAAAAATCCCTTACAATTTATTTTCCATATTAAATGAAAGTAAACAGACACATCATGACCACCATCAACCTCTGGTCAATAATGGAAGGTGTGAATTTTATTGAAGCATATTATTGGTATTTGCTTATTATTGTTACAGAAGTGAGGAAGAAAAAACAAGGAGTATGAGTTTGGTTCGTCTGGATGCTACAGCATCTTCTGTAACAATGAAAAACTTTATTAAGAAAAAATATGCAATTATATCTTACAAGCTATTAAGCTAAACCCCACTGTGTGTAAAAATATAAAGCTGCATCACTATTTCTTTTTTTTTTTAAATGTGCATCAATTTTATTTAAATAAGACAATATCCATCCATCCAATTCAGTTTATTTCTATAGCGCCAAGTCACAACAAAAGTCATCTCAGGGCACTGAACAGAAACATTCATGTACATAAAAAGTTAATGACACTATTTATAGGAGGCGCAGACTGCTTTGAGTTGAACTTCATGGCAGACTCTCATCTTGAGCAAGCTTCAAGGCGACAGTGGACAGGAAAAACGTCCTTATGAGGAAGAAACTTTTAGCAGAACCAGTTTCAGGACAAGCGGCCGTCTGCTTCGACCAGCTGGGTTTGAGAGGAATAGATACACAATGGCAGGTCAAGAATCTTGTATTAAAATAGAAATGTATCAAATGAAAAATATTCAATTTTAACAATTTCTTTAAGGAAATTAGGTCAATTTGTCCTCCAGTAGTCCAAGTCTATAGCAGCATAACAAGCCAACCCTAACTATAGGATTTATCAAAAAGGAAAGTCTTAAGTCCAGTCTTAAAACTGGACAATGTGTCAACCTCATGAACAGAAACTGGAAGTTGGTTCCTCAAGAGGAGCTTGATAACTGAAAGATCTTCCTCACATTCTGCTTTTGGAAACTATAGGAACTGCGAGTAAACCTTCAGTTTGAGAGCAAAGTGCTCTGTTAGGAAAATGAAGTGCAGATTCAACGAGGTGGCTGGCTTCCGTAGATAGAGAACTTTACTATTTGGCTTTTCTACGTATGTGAATGTTTCTGTTCTGAGCCAACTTTGATGAGATATGGCGCTATATAAATAAACTGAATTGAAATTGAATTGAAAATATGGAACAATAAGATCTAAAATATAAGATGGAGCTAGGTTGTTGAGAGTTTTGTAGGTTAGAAAAAATACATTTATATGGTGGAGAGTGACCATCTTGAATTATGGAGTGGCATCCCTATTTTCTAACGGAACATTTGTTACGCCTCGATGCAACCACACACCAAAAAGGAAACGTACCCGTTGCTAATTTTTCCAGCTCACAAGGTTATCATACTATAGATATGGTGGTGATCATTTTGGACATTGACCTGGCAACCCAATTTTCAAAAATAACCGGTCTTACGCCTATGCACCCCCACACAAAAATGGAAGTCGATACCCCACTTATTTTGCAGATTATTGTGCTCATGTACAGATGAACTAATGGAGGGATGAAGAATATTTACAATTCCCCCTTTTCGCTCAGCGCTGGGGGACAAAAGAAGACAGTGACTGGTGGTAGGTTCACCCCTGAGGACAAAAGCCTTCCGTGCCCTTTACAGAAAAAAAGGAGGGGAAAATTGTCTGTTGTGAAGTTCTAAATAAATAAAAAAGTTTTTAATATAAGCTATATCCAGCTGTGGCATCAGTAGTTAGTCATCCTCTGTAACTACTTCACAGTGAGGTCAACACTGTGACGCAGCTTTAAGAGCTTCACTCGTGCACAGGATTTGAATACGAGCCTCTGCTTTCCTGCCTCACCCACTCTACCAACACAAAACCTACAGTATCGTTTTCCTGACATCTCTCGGTGTGTTTTTGTATGCGAGCAGGAAAGCTTCTTGTCTCGGAGAACTCAGCTCTTCATTAGTAGTTTGTGAGCACTGCAGGCCTTGAGGGCACCCTGGCTTTTGACTAGGCGACAAAAGTTTTGGCACCGACCCGGGTTACCAAGGCCAGCACTATTCTGGAGTCTGGGTTAGCTAAATAGGCCTTTCACTTCAAACGTATTGGTCTGTTCAACAGATGTCTTGTTTCAACCGCTTACCTGCATGAAAAAATAAAAACCTAATGCAAATGATCTCTTCGCAATGGTTGAGCTTATGCACATTTCTTACCAAATATTTCTGCCTTTTTCACTGGGCACTTCATTTAATATCACATCCGCCTGGTAATGACACACTTCATTCCCCAAATCCAATTCCCTCCCAGCTGCGCAATTTAGGTCTCCTAATCGAGCGCCTCCCAAGAGAAGTCCACTGAATCTAGCCTAGGGCCCAAAGAGCATTGTGGAGCATATAGTGGAATGGTTTAAATAGATGCCTGCTAAATTTAGCCATCCTGAGATTGACTAGAGACAGAAAGAAGGAGCATGGGGCAGTTTTAAAAGGATTACCTAAACGCACCATAAAGCCAGACTTTGGCTTGTTTTTCCTTTGATTTTCATCTAGTTTTAACTCAGATGTCTGAGTCAGAGGAGCATTAACTTTAAATATTTACAGCTACTTGACACCTTGTCTCATACAGGTTTGCTTCCTCGTGCAAACAGAAGTCTTCCAGATATTGTGTCTCAACTTAAAAGAGCACTAATGGCAACATTTATGGTTTTATTTAGGAGCAAAAGAAAAGAAAGGTGCCCAAGCTCATTGTTACAGCAGCAGATAGCATCTCCACTGGTCTCTGCAAGGAAAACTTACCAAAAAAGGTCAAAAGGATGGCAAAGGAGAAAGGCCACATGAGCAAAACGTTAATTTAACACAAACACTCACTCCCTAAAGCAGACATTTTATATTTTCATACAATCTGAAAGAGAGCAAAGACAGGAAATGTCACATAAACAGGTTCAGGAAAAGCAACTGAGAATTATTTATTCTATGTTGGTTAAAAAAAAAAAGCAGTCTAATCACGATATACTGCATAAAGTAACACGAATATTGATCACATTTAAGTAGTAAAGTCCAGCACTTTACAACTGTTGTACCAGGAAAACGATGAAGGACGCAGTGCGGTGCCGCGGAGGAACAAACTCCGTATGTTTATGTTCAACTCTGTGCGTTTGTGTTAAAAAAAAATGTTAGTATCGTCGAATTTCAAGTTAGTCTTACCGTGGTCGGTGAGTATACTTCAGGAGTCTGTCACAGGAACAGGAGGCACATCAGAGGTTCCGCATCCAACTTCACTCATAACTTAGAGCGTGCCTCATGAACGCAACGCTTCACGCGGCTTTCGCCCAATCATAGTCGAGAATAGCTTTGAACCCGCCCCTTCATATTCATCTCAACCAATCACGACTCGAGCTTTTTTTTTTTTTTTTTATCAAGGGCTCAAAGTTGATTGACAGGAGAGTCTGCCAAGAGTTTTCGAGGATGTTTTTTTTTCCCTAAATATTTTTTCAATTTTATTTCACTACCCTTTAGAATTTCTATCTATCTATCTATCTATCTATCTATCTATCTATCTATCTATCTATCTATCTATCTATCTATCTATCTATCTATCTATCTATCTATCCATCCATCCATCCATCCATCCATCCATCCATCCATCCATCCATCCATCGTCCTTTTTATCCTCTTTGAAGTAACAACGCTCCTTGGCAACAAATCTTACATTGTTAAAAGGCCTGTTTATTTAATCTTATATGTGCCACATTTGTTAGGAAAATTAATATGTTCAAGGTTCAAGGTTCTTTATTGTCATTCAAATCACTTGTGGTACATGAGGTGGAATGAAACTGTGTACTCTCAAGGTCCCCGTTACACCCCAAAAAAGCAAAAATATAACGGATAAAAATAAACTGTAGGGATCTAAGGTATACGCTAAACAATAATAATGTAAAATATTAAACAACAGCCTGAGCATGAGTCTGAACTTGTCTGCTGTGAGTTGAGCAGCAGAGTGTGTGGGTTGAGTTCAAGAAAATCTTTCCAAATTTTCTCTAACAATGCCAAACAATCTTGATGGGTGGCATTTATTGGATTGAATGGTTGTAGTTAAAAAAAATGCATTATGGTAACTAATCACCTCATTTATTTAACTAACAAGTGTCACAGTAGCATGTGGAAGAACCATACACAGCCACAACAGTCTGACACTTCCTCCTCATGCTGTTCACCAGCTTGATTGCAAATCAACAAATGAGGTTGTGTTGGTCAGTGTGGATCAGGCTTGAATTACAGAGAAGTAAGTTCATTTTGTCCACTCCCATATTCTGGAGGTTGTTTAAAATAACCCCCACTCTGTGGGGCAGGCGCTGTCATCTTTGAAGATAATTTTCATCCCAGATTTTGAAGTTATGTGATCACTACTGGTTGCTCACAGGTGCTGACAATCACATGCCAAAATTTTCTGCTTTTGAATACAGACAAGACTGAGGTTTTAGTTTTTGGACCAGAGTATCAGGAATAGATTTTTCGGCCTTTAACCCTCCTTGGAAGGCATTGATCTGGCCTCCGGCTCTAATGTTAAAGATGTTGGTGGTATTTTTGATCAGGACATGTCTTTTATCCCCCACGTTACTAGAACCACTTTCTTCCACCTAAGTAATATCGCTAAAATTAGAAACACCTTATCTAAAAATGATGCAGAAAAACTGGTTCATGTATTTGTCATGTCTAGACTGGACTATTATAATGGTTTGTTATCTGGGTGTCCAAATACTTCTTTAAAAAGTCTTCAGTTAATCCAAAATGCTGCGGCCAGTCTTAACTGGAGTTAGGGTTGGCTTGTTATACTGCCTTAAGCTTAAACTACAAGAGGACAAATTGTCATAATTTCCTTAAATGAATTGTTAAAAAATAAATAGTTTTCATTTGATATTATTTCTATCTCAACATATGATTCTTGACCTGCCATTGTGTATCTGTTCCTCTCAAACCCAGCTGGTCAAAGCAGATGGCCGCTTGTCCAGAGCCTGGTTCTGCTAAAGGTTTCTTCTTCATGAGGGAGTTTTTCCTTTCCACTGTGGCCTTCATGCTTGCTCAAGATCAGAGTTCTGTGATGGAGTTCAATTCAAAGCAGTCTGCTCCTCAGATACAGTTTTTATATACGAATGTTTCTGTTCAGTGCCCTGAGACGACATCTGTTGTGACTTGGTGCTAGATAAATAAACTGAATTGAACTGAAGACAGATGAACTTGAAGATGATGACTCTTGACATCTGTTCTGGTTCTATTCATACATTTGACTGAACTATTTAAATACCATTATAACAGCTAGGTTGAAAATACTTGTCATTTGTGAAGCAGCTCTACATTCTAATCATAAAACAAACGAAAAAACAAACAAAAAAGAAAAAGAATCTTTTTATCATTATATCATTTATTCAGGCACCATTCCCCACCAAAAAAACCATCCACGCCATGTCCACTTCAGAAACCTTGAACCCAGTCCACTCGTGGATCTATGGTGTCTTGGAAGTGTGCAGGGGTGATTGCTCAGGTGCATCTAAAAAACAAAATCTAGTTTTTAGAACACCAAACTTCCATCAGAAACATATTCTTAAAGGTGAACTAATTACTTAAAATCTAAACATTTGGAGCATGTACCAGAAAGTCATACTACAAACTAAGTTACTTACAAATCGCTCTTCATCAAACCCTCCATAGATGAGCCAAACAATGTGGCACAACTTGACGTATTCTCCTTCAGTCAGTCCAGGATCTCTTTGATACACCAACAGCAGAGGAGGAAGTAAAGGCACTCCTTAACCGACTGGATGAAACTGTAGGTGAAGTTCCCCCCGAGGACGTTCTTGCCCCGTCCCAGACCCATGGCCAAGTCCCGCAGGTGCTGCCCCAGAGAGGAGGAGGGCATGGCCTGGGGAAGAGGACGCTGAGGGTGCATGGCTTCAGATTTAAGAGGCAGATGGAGACGAACGTGAGCGGAATTACACGATGATGATTCCTGGGGCCTCACTCTTCTTCTCCTCTACTTATAACCTCCCCCAAACAGCAAGCCGCTTCTGTTCACATCCGGGATTTTCTCCTCATCTGGTTTGAACGAGTAACGACCGTTCACCCTGTTGTATCCCTCCACAATAAGAGGTGACTGTGACAGCTTACTCACAAACAGGAGAGCTCCAGCAGCTTCAACACAATCCACAATAATACCCCGCTCTTTGTTCCAGACGGTCATTCACTCTCGCATCACGAGCTTTGTTGGTTAAAAACCACATCATCAGGTTTAAAATTAATCAACTAACAAAGAGAGGTGATGAGGAGAGATAAATGTATTTATATATGCAAACTAGATTTTCAGGTACAGGTGTAAACAAAGTTCTTTACAAACCAAACCAAATATAACAGAAAACATAAAAATCAACATCTGTGCACACAATAAAAAAAAAAAAAAAAAAAGGAACCTTTGGCTTTTGAAAGAATAACAGCATCATCAACACAACTGAGCAACGTTGCCGTCAACGAACCACAAAGTCTCTTAAAAAAAAAAGGTTTTCATGCAACAAAAAAGGCAACTGTGACGAACGACGAGAGCGCACGGAGAACACAGGAAGTCAGAAAGGTCGGTTCCAGCGAACATGCACACGCACCGTCTGCTTTTCCTATTCTGGACCCACTGAACAGTCGTCACTCTGGATTATGTGCGCACGTCTGAACACACCTGACAACTAATCAACACTTAAAAGTGACAGTTCGGACACCCTGAAGTGGAGGCACGGAGGCTTTGCTCCAAACTAGCTGCTGCCACTCTTTGCCATAGAAACCTCAATAAATAACCACGCAATGCGAAACTAAAGGATTTATAAACCAGCATCTGCTTGAACTGCTCCGGATAACCGTTAGCTCGTCAATCCAGTGAGAATTAAACCCAATTTCTCAAGACAGAGGCAGCTTAAACCATCTCCGCTGCATGTTAAAAGCAGTTAATCCTTCCACATCAAAAGAGCTGAACTCTCCCCGGTTTAAGGTCGACACGAACAGACTTCCTTCGGTTTTGTTTTGGTTTCATGACGTTTTCATTTGGCTTTAAAATGAACTCTTAATGCTGTAACTCTGCCTCACTCCTCATTAAATATACAACAAAACAACTATCCAATAGCAAGCATATCCATCTAAAATTAATATTTACAAGAAATCCCCCCCTTTCCCCCTCATTGGTGACATCAAGTATCTGTGACTAGAAGCTGAATGCAGGAATGTGCATCAGAGGAGATTGCCATCACTGGAGCTGTTTGTGTTTGTTGGGAGTGCCACTTTTTGCATGGTCCGTGTTAAACCGAGAGATTCTCCTGCAGTTTTCTACGTTTGATTTAAGTACATAAGGTGACTGCATTGCAAATGACATGACTGCATTGAGGAAACAAGGCACAATTAAAACCAAGATATTAAAAATAAACATGCACTGTGGAAGGAGAAAACAACAGCTTCCCCCTTTGGGTCTTTGCAAGTTTGACAACACCGAGGAGAACGTTTGGCTGAACGCTCTAGAACATCTGACTTATGATCGTTTAGAGACACTTTAGTTTGCACGTTTTTTTTTTTTCTTTTAAATTATTCCCTCACAAGACACAAACACAACTAAATCAATTCATTCGACACACTTTGCATTACTTTTGCTGAGAGAAACTCATTGCTTAGACGGAACATTTATATGTTTTGACATTAAACATTGCCCCACCTTTGCTTTCCCTCTGAAGCTCTAAAGATTGTCAATGCAAACACATCGTAAAGTGTTTCCGAGGAGCAGTAAGATCAGCTAAATGCTTCTGGGAGTGTTTTTATGTGGCTGACATCAGTGTACAAGACATGTAGACTTGAATAGAAAGAGGACTGCGAAGATTTGCCATGGCTTTCGTCTCCGTCGTTAGCAACCGAGCTCCTGATCTTTGGCATGGCAGGTGTTGCAGAGCGGATGTGGTGAAGGTGTGTAAATATACCTGCATGTGCAAAGAGACTGGGCAAATACAGCTGTCTGAACTCTTCTGTACTCCGAACAGTAAAACGATTGTGAGAAGACAAGGCGAACAGAAACAAATTAACGCTATGTAATGGGTTTTAGCATAGCAGTCCTGGATTTGCATACCGGCTTTGCTCCAAAAGGGTCAAAGTTCAAAAGTCAGTCAATAGGGGAGTGACTGAAGGTGGGGCGGTCCTCTTGATGAACTCGTTTATGCATATTCCGTCATCTCGGATTCACGTTTGCTTCTCAAGTTCTCCAGTGAGACTCGAAGGACGAGTCTCTGCAACGAACACCTCCTGTCAGTGCGTTTGCTTTTTGCTTAAAAACGCTCCAGCGATGCTCCGAGGAGGGAAAGTTTGCCCCCCGCAAAACAAAGAAACCTGCTTTTAAAAGCACCGACGCACTCAGTCTACATCCACTCAAGTCTCTCTGTAGTTGAACACAGAATTTCACACAGTGGGTATTTTTTTATCTATTATGTTTTTTTTTTTAAATTGCATTTGTTTTCAGCCTTGCTGTGATAAAGAGCTCCTCCCTGGTTCACAGCAGGTTGAGGAAAAAAATTGCAGCAGTGCTTCTCCGCGTCGGATGCCCTCGCCTACAGTTTGTGAAGGGTTGCAGGTCAGTTTGGCAGAAATATGGCAACAGCAGCAAGAAAAGTGATTTAGCAGAGAAACTGGAGATATTTTCTTTTTGTTTTGGCTTGTGTGTGGTCATATATAAAGTTTCGTAGGAGTGGCACATGTAGTGTTGCTGTGTGTGTGTGTGTGTGTGAATTTAAAACAAGATGAACGTGTGTATTTGCAGTGCGAGTGTGTCTATTTTTGGTGGAGTATTTTATTGGTGTGTGTAGCTTTAGGCTCTGCGCTCCACTGGCTGTTGCAGAAACACTTCACTCCCAGCTGACACGATGGGCAGTCTGTTGTCCATGTGGTAACTGATCAGGTGACTGACGCTTCCAAACCGATGGTCCTTTGTGCGCACCTACGGAAAAAGAAAATAAAGAATTAGCTTTGATCCGTTGTAAAAACGTGTATCTATGTGCCTCTCTACTCTGACTTACCACTCCCTCTGGGTCGACCAGCAGCAGGTGTTTGGGCTGACCTCCCTGCTGTCCCGTGAGGACATACTGTCCGGGCGTGGTCCCAGACTCTCGCACCAGGAAGTCTCCGTCTCGGGTCAACAGCCTCTCTGATTCTTTGCGACTTAAGCTACCGTGGAACCAGATTTCGTTCTGCAGCTGTTGCACCATAGCGGCTGCGCTTTGGCCACTGTGTCCAGACACCCCCAAGGCATCGTCAAGCGGCTCTTGGAAAATGAAACGAACACAAATGTGAATTCAGCTGAAATCTTTCTAGAGAGGAAAAAAAAAAGTCTGCAAGTATTATTTGCATTTGATTTGGATAAAAGAACAAATATTGGCCATGAACTGAGGGACAGTTGCTGCACATTGATTGTGGGTTGTGTCTTTAATGGGAAACACTATGCAGTCAACCAATACCGTTTTACAAAATGCACTTGTAATGGACAAACACTTATTCCTTTATCTTCCTCCAAGCCTGTCCTCTAGAGAAAATCTTCAGTTTGCATCAGTTGCAAGGAAATTCAAGTCCAAACCATTCTGTTCATCTCTCATGCTAATGATCAACTTTTTTTTTTTCATCATAAAACAGCACATCGAAGCTGCAAGACCATTTTTGCTTTATTCATTCCAATTCACACATCTTACATCTGTAGTAAGATCGTGCTGTGCAGGGTTGAAAATTTAAACAAACCAAACAGCGTGCACGGATACATACTCATGTCAAAAGCATCTCTGTGAGCATTTCCATTTGCTGCAACTGGGAGACGCGGTTTATCCACGTTGACGTACGAGGGGTCGTCGAACAGCTCTCGGGCCCCTTCTTTGGCACCCACTGCAGCAAAGAAAGCAGAAGATATTAGCAAGCTGTGCTCATCTTCCTTTTGTGCATAACAACTTAGCTTTACTAGTCGAAGCCCAAGATAAGAGAGGAAGGAGAGAAAGAAAGGGTTGTGAGAGTTTGAGAAATGGTTCTTTGCTTTTAAGTTTCCAGAGAGGCAGAACTTACCTGGTAGAGGAGGCAGGGGCTGCTTGTAAATGTCGCTCTGACCTGGCTGTCCGTAGGGCTGCAAACACAGAGGCATACAGACAAACACATCACTGCAAGACGCTGGTACCTCTTCCAGAAAATTTTGAATAAAGTACATGTGATTTCCTACATTTTGGTGTATTTTAATGGGTTGTTAAAAACATCTACCTGCTTGTAAAAATATATATATAAATAAAAAATAAAATTATATATATTTTTATTTTTTTTGAGGGGGGGGGGGACCCCCAAGCACTGGCTCACACAACCCTCAGGGGTCTGGGGACCCCAGTTTGAGAACCACTGATCTAGATTGACGTCTTTAATTGAAAGCAGTGAACCGTGTCTTAGTCTTCTCACCAGTGTTGGTCCTGGGCGGGTCCTCATGTCAATCAGTCCACCAGGGGGAGGCTGTTTTCCAGGGAAATTATTATAGTAGGGGACATCAGGTGGAGGAGGCAGTGGAGGAGCAGACTCATCATCCTCTTCCTCCCATGCAGAGCCATCAAACGGTGCCATTCTGAAGGAGACAGGGGTTTTACTAAAAGCAGATACCGAAACGAACAAAGCAAAGCTGTGTCTTTGGGCAGATTTTCATTTACCTATCATGGGGTGTGACCACTTTGGGGGGGGTCATCAGGTACTGTTTAAACCGCAGCTCAAAGGCCTGGCCGATGGTGCTGATGACTTCCTGGGCTAAACCCTCTGAGCACTCCAGGATATGACACGCTACAGTCGAGGAGGTACAAAGAACTGATGAAAGAAGCCTGAACAAAAGTACTTGACTAAAAATGAAGGTAGAGTGGAAAAGTAGGGAGGCATTTTGATCAAGTGCTTCACTGAACGATAAAAAGAACAGAATTTATTCACTTCACCTCCAAATTTCAACAGATTAAAGGATTACAAGATGATTATGCAACAATAACCTCTATGAAAGTGCGTTTACAAACCCCCCCAAAAAAGATCTTTACTTATTCACGCAAATATGCTTAGAAGTTACTTTAAATGCTAATTTGATGGTAGAACAGTTGTTTGTGCGATATAACTAAGGTGGTGGATCAAATTCAAGGGGAGATACAGCAGATGAGCCTTTCATGTGAATATGGTAATTAATTTATATTTGAATGAAAGTGTTAAGTCATATTCATGCGCAGTTTGATTTAAAATCCAACTTTAGGCTCTGTAGTTCCAGAGGTACGCAAGTCAAAACAGGAGACGGTCGACTCACATGTCAGAGGGTAACGGTCAAAGGTCGAATCAAAGGAAACAAAACTCCTATTTCAGGTTTTCTCCTGACTGACAGACACAACCTGTGTGAAAGGGCTGGTTTGGCTCTTTCTGCTCACCTCTCTGGTTGACTGGATCTTTGGCCACATATGCTACGTACCCAGCTGTATCCTGTGGGAGCGAGACACGGAAGTCAGAGGAGTGGGGGAAGGAAAAAAAAAAAATCAATAGAAGAGTAAAAGCCAAGGGCAGGTTTTAGACTGAAAGAGCTGAAAGGAAGACAGGAAAGTAGACAAAGCAGGAGCCTTTTAAGATGGGAAAAAGTTCAAAAAGCAAGCTGCAAAAGAGGCGGCAGGAAGTGACGTGATCGGGGAGTGCAAGCCAGAAAAGCAGCGATGAAGTAGGTGAATTTCACAGGAACAGAAGATGACCTTCAGACAGGAAGGAAGGACATGAAAAGGGCCTGAGTAAGGTTTGAGCTGAGAGAGAGAGGATTGGGTGACTCACTGGGTCTCCTCCCGAAGCGAAGGAGATGGACTGCATGTGATGATTGGCAATAATCTGTAAAGGAAAAACAAAACAAAAAAGAATGGGAGGAGAGAACATGGATGAGATGAGTATGTGAGGGAGTGAAATAAAAGTGTTTGGATGGAGAGATAAGTATGGAATCATTACTGAGGAAAGTGTTTTTCCCTCCGCTGATCACCGTTCTGCAGTTGTTTTTTTGAACAGCGTGCAGCGAGTGCCCGTGCTGAATCAATAACAGCATTAACACTTGATAACGCTCCATGTGCTCAACGTGTGGTCTGTCTGATCCCTCGTTTATGTGTAGGTACTGCACATGTGCAGAACAACGCTTCTTTGCATTAGTGTTAATGCTAATCCCATCCACCCAAAGAGAGACCTCACTCAAAGGCTATTAACTCCTTAGGAGTCAGAGGAGGATCACACCCTGCTCAGTGGCAAGAATAAATACAATAAAAAGAATTTGTGTTGAATTCACAGTAAATGAGGCAAAGTGGCTTCATCCTAGTTTATCTGGGCTTCCTTAAATGTTCTGCACTGGTCAGAAACCCTGAAGAGATTTTATTGTGTGAATGCTACTATTGTGATCCTATTTCCATTTCTAAATTATTTTGTGATGTTTTTCAGCATCTTTCTCAAACTATTTCAACAATTCATATACCAAAACATTGAACTCTTTCAGGGCAATCCTGCTATGACTTTTGGTACTGGTGCTTTTTGAAAGATTTAGCCTCTTCTGCCAATTTTTCCTCAGAGAAAATGAACTGAGCTCATTTTACATCCTTCAAATCTTTAGATCTGTTTATAACCTTTTACTGCTCTTTTCACATTTTGTTCTGCTTCTTTCAGCTTCCTTGTGCAAATTTAAACGTTTTTCAGCTTCTTTCAGCTGTTTTGTGATCCTTTCAGATTCTTTCTGCAAACTACATTTTTGTGCTTCTTCTAAATTCTTTCTGTGAATTTCAGCTTATGTTGCTTTCAGCTTATTTCTGCAAGTTTCAGCTTTTTCTGCAATTTCAGCTACTATTTTGTTGTTTTATGCTAATTTGAGCCTTTTCAGCTAATTCCACATCTTTTGCAATAATTTCAACTTTTTTCAGTCTAGTTCTGCAAAAATGTTCTCTCTCCACTTCCTTCTGGTAATTTACTTTCTGCCCTTTTAGCTACTTTTCAGATGGGTTTATTTTTGCTGCTAATTTCAGCTTATTTCAGATAATTTCCACTTTGTTGTGCTCATTTCTGCTTCTTTCTTATTTGGGAAACATTCTTTCTGCTTTCTTCTGCTAATTTAAGCTTTATTTACATTTTCAGATAGTTTTTTAGCATTGTTTTTTAAAGCTAATTTCAGCTGTTTTCAGATAAATTCATGTTTTCATGGTAGTTTCTGCTACTTTCAACCTAATTACCGGTCACTTCTTTATGCTAATTTCACAGCATGTTGTGCACCTTTCAGCTTTTTCTGCCATTTCAGTTATTATTTGGTTGTTTTTATGCCAATTTTAGCGCGTTCAGCTAATTCCACCTTTTTTTTTTTTTTTTTTTAAGCTCAATTCAGCCTTTTCTGCTTCCTTCAGGTTGTTTAAACATCTTTTAGCCTTTTTAGCTTATTTCAGCATTTTTTTTTGTTAAATTCCAAATTTTTGTGCTCATTTCTGCTTATTTAAAACCAATTCAGCATATATGTTCTTTCTGCTTTCTTCTGCTAATTTAGGCTTGTTCTTCCAGTTCAGCATGTTTTGTTTTAGCTAATGTTAGCAGTTTTTCAGCAAATTCTTCTGCAATAAGCATTCACACTGCATTTTCACAGGAAATGTATTTTCTCTAGTTTACATTTGGTTGAATCCTCCATAAAAACTGAATGTGCATGTTTACAGTCAAAACTTAGGTTCTTACATCAGTCATGCACTTTGATTCAGGCAGTGATAAACTATTTTAGAACATTGGCAAACCAATGGCCATTTGTTTTAGTGGAGCTACTGACACAGCTGTGTGAAATGATCTCAAGTAGCAAATAAGTCTAAATAAAATCCTTCAAGCTCTTTTGATCCTCTGGATTTAAATCATCCACAACAGAGTTCATAGAATCATGGTCCATCTTGGACTCTTGACTTTCAGAGGCAAATCTGCTCCCATGTTTTATAAGAAACAGGCAGCAGTGTCTCAACTTCAGTCTAACCTGTTTGCAGTCAGAAGCCAGCAGGTTGAGGCTGCTGGTCGAGATGGTGAGGTTGATGGTCATGCCTGCAAACTGCAAGTTGCTCTTTCCAAGGATGGACGTCAGACCGCGAGGGGCAGGCTGCAAAGAGGAGAGGGACACAGATCCTGAGTTACAATCCAACTACACGGCAGAGTCAGAAAGCAGCAGGAGAGATGCATTATTTTCTTTTCTTCACAAAGTATAATAGCTCCATGTCTGAGAATGTCTTTGGGTGTGTGTATGCATGTTTGGAAATGCCTGTGTGTGTGTGGGAGTGACGGAACAGCTGCAATTGTGAAAGTGATCTGGTCTCAATGACCAACTGTGACCAACAGCACACTGCAGGCAAGGACATCCCATAGGCCCTTCCAGCATGAATGTGTCAGACCGTTCATCCCTATCCTCCTGCTCTAATGACTTTTATTCATATGTGGAGTGTGTGTCACCCTCAATCCCGCCAAATCACAGACTAGACTTGTTTAATCTATTCTTGGTGACTTTCTATAAAATGTGTTTTGTCTGGTGTGCCACGCTGCCAGACATTCCTGGGTCAAACCCTGGTCTGACAGCTGGATTTAGCCACCTGTTTTATGGACTGTTTGGGTGGAGGTTTTGTAGTTTTACTTGAATACTGTGTGCATCAACACAGACCAGTCTGTAAACTGCAGACTGGTGGCTGTGTCTGCTAAAGTGAAGTAGTTTCTTCAAAAAAATAAAAAAAAGCTGTCCCTTGTGGCATGAAGATGAGAGAAGAGAGACTAGAGAGTGATTGGTAATTATGTGTGAGTCGCACACTAACCACATAAGAGTACAATCAGCTTGAATCAAGTTCTCTGTTTGTTTGTGTACTTGGATGAGTACTTCTACCAGCATTCACTTTTGGTTTGAAACTACTGAACTGAGAACATGGAGCTAAGAATATGGTGAGGTTTAGACTAACGGTCTAACAATTAAATTGAGGAGACTTGCAACAAAGACAGCCATGCATATGTTTGTATGTGGAAACTAAAAGGTTGTTTGAATAAAGAAAAACAAAATCACTTTTAAAACAATGAGAATATTGCTAAGGTCTGAACTGAAGTGAGGCTCTAGTTTGGGATTAAAGTGTGGATTATGATGTCCACAAATGAACCTTAGTCAAGCAAGACTTAAAAAAAGATGCAGTCTTGTGCATGTGTGTGAGTATGTCTCTAAGAGAGAAGGAAAGCATGTGACTAAACAGTCAACTGACCACAAAGTGGACAAATAAGCTAATTCAAGCTCTCAACCAGAAAACCCCTTCTACTGCTGTCCACTTAAGCCTCGTAAATAAATAATGTTTTATAAGGGCGTGTTCTGGAGTGAGTAGTATGTACCTTTCTCCTGCGGGCTCCTTTGGCTCCGGGTACCGCCTCGCACACGACAGAGATAGCCTCCCTGGAACGTTAAAAACACACATCTTGGCAAAGATGTCATAGCACAGCTCACACTGCTCCTGGATTCATATTTTATGCGGATTAAAAGAGATCTGGCAGCTGGTGGGATAATTTATTGGCCCTGGCAACTGTGCTCCTCTTTGCCACAGAGACAAATATCGCTACGGAAACCGCAAGGAAACCACTAGGATTCCAGAGCGTTCTAATTTAGGGCTTCGGAGAACAGCAGGGGTGTACGCACACATACACAGGAGCTAACACAATCAGACACTAATGGGGGGGGGGGGACAAACAGGCAAGAAAATAGAACGGAAGCAAGACAGAAAGTGAGCAAACACACAAAGACATACAAGGCGGGATTGGTCAATCACAATATTTTATTCTAACCACAGCACTGCTACCAACTTGTGTCTTTATGGACTACAATGCTGTGAAAAAGTAATCCTTTATTAATTTATACTTTGCTTCCAAGGAGCCCGGCTTTTTGCAATATTTAAAGTGGTCTTGATTAATATTTCATCACGTTTTCTGAAGGTTTTTTTTTTTTTTTTAAAGTTTTTCTTTGGACTAGACTTTGATAAATCTAGGCATAAAGAGTTTTCTGAACACAAGGGATGACTACAGTGTAGACAACACTGATCCATCCCCAATTGTGTCCTTTTTATGTAAAATTGGTACATTAAACAGACAAAATAGCAAAAAAAACTGTCTATAAATTGCATCTTTAGACACCGTTATTAGCAACTTGTCATGACAGTTGCCTTTTGTGTTGAATTTTTGACACATAAAATATAATGTAGCTTAACACATAAAATTGTATTGTAAAATCAAGCTATATGACAATGTTCCCCATCGCTGAGGAATTTGAATAGAGAATATATGTAGTTTTTGACATGACTGTTTTCCTGGACAGGAAATGAACAGGGAATGTAAGTAAACCTTCATGTTTTTGGTGCAAGATATTCAAGTTGGTAGGAGTTACACTGTATAAGAACACAGAGGTGGTTTTACTTTTTTTGCTTGTCCAAGGTGGCGCAGTGACAGATCCTGGTGAGCAGAGGAAGCAATTTTATCCATCACCAGGTGCAATGGTGGAGCCAAGGGCGTGGCCAGTGGTGGCCTTGGCCACCATAGATTTATCTTCAGCCTCCCCACTGATCACTCCAATCACTTGAGGAAATTATACTTTTAAGAAATATGAGAAATGATTGGGGAGGCTAGTTTACACATATAAATATGGTGGTGGCCATCTTAGATTTTGATGTGGCAACCAGGTCTTTGCTTGATTTTTTTTTACTTTTATTTCTTAAAGACAAGTTTAAGATACTGCTCTTTTTTTTTTTTTTTTTACACTACTTCTTTAATCCTGTACTTGTTCCATTTCTTCATGTTTCAAGTACACACTGCACAATTTGCCGTCATGGTTAAATACCGGATGGAAAGTCTTTGAAAACAACAAAGATCTAAAATCCAAATACATAATTCAAATAGTCTGAAGAACCATTGATCAGGACCAGTTTCAAAGATCAGAAGTCTTGCTTCTTGGTAGCATTTCTCTTTAAAACTAGGGGTGATTTAAAACAAAAAGAAACGTAGAGAAGATGAAACGTGTGCAATTTCACCTGGTGACCTGAGTTCTGGTGTTGAAGTCCAGCGCTCTCATTGACTGTAGCACCTCTACACAACCCATGTACTGCCCAGGAAACAGGAAGGCAACACGTTAGTATGAGACATTTCCTACACCACAGTCCAATTTTAGCAATGAAACACTCAGGAAACAGACTGGAGGAAAAAGAGAAACTGTATACACAGCATAATACAACTTGGAAAGAGAAGCGTATACTTATGTTTAAAGTGGGGGATAGTGAGAGTGTGCCACTTACTTACCCGAACATTATAGGAAACACCAGTGGTGCTGACCACATTGTCAGAATGCAGCCAGCCACGGATTGGCTTGTTGACAAAGGAGCCATGGCGCGTCCATTCATCTCCTCCCAGCTGCCCTCCTTCTACCCGTGCCATCCTGGATGCCCCTCCGAGCCGGTTCATGTCCTGCAGAGGAGGTCGGGGAGGGGGAGAGGGAGCAGTTAGGATGGGAATAGGTTGATGAAGAGGAGGGGAGGAGCTAGAGTTGCTCCTGTCATCTCCAGGGGACTCAATGGGCGCCTGAGTCTGCTGTGACCTGTTTGAGGCCTTGGGTCCTGGGAGAAGAGTGCCAGAGACACCCAGGCGAAGGGATCTCATACTGGGGAAGAAGGAGCAAAGGGTGGTGGGGCTGTTCTCAGCTGGGCGAGGAGAGGTGGGGGGCAAAATGGGAGTGAGAGACGAGGAGGAGAGGGAAGAAGGTAAACCAGGGGAGGGGGTTAGGGGGGTGGCGGGGCTAGATGGAGGGAATGGTGAAGGATTGGAGTTGGTTTCATCAGTTGAGCTCAGAGACTCACTCCGAATGTGGGTGTACTTGGTTTTCTGCACAAGCTCCATCATGAATCTGTAAAGTTTTTCTTTTTTATTATTATTATTATTATTATCCTGGAACAGGTTCACTCAGGCTGCAGCGATTCAATCCAAGTATTTTTGTTTCACAATTCAGAGTTCTTCCAAAAAGGACACTCATTCGTCTGTTTGCTTGTCTGTCCTCCACTTGTTACCAGGCAGCCAAAACCAAGCCGCTTCAAAACTGGCTTTATCCACGAGCGCAGGGCGAGAGAAGGTGCAGCAGAAAAATGGGGCCTCCCAGTTAACGGCAGAATACAGATGAAAAAAGTTTTTCAGTGCACCAGCACTCATGTTGTCATAATTTTGTTGTTCATTGAATTCCCCTACATTGACGAGTTCTTAGCTCTCCATGAAGTGCTCGTCTTGGTGATGGGCCAGAATGTAAAACAATATCTTGTCCTGACTTAATCACCTCTGAGTGAGAGCCAGTTACTCAGCTGCCATCAGCACCGTGGAGAATCAAAACGAGTGATTGTCTCTGAACGCTTCTTGTTTGTGTCTTGCTGTACAAAAGACGTGCGCGCTTGTTTGCGATGCGTCTGCATGCATGAGGCAGTAAAACTCTCATATGTGTGTGTGCTGTTGTGTGCATGTGTGAAGCCGTTCCCCTTGCAGCTCGATCTTGCTTGACATAGGCCTATAAAAATCCTATTAGCAGCCAACAAGGGGATTGCAAAAGGAGCTGTGCACACGAACACAGCAGCGATGCACACACAATACACAACCTCAGCTGGTCGATAACACGGCAAACACCTGCAGAGCTAAAGAAGAAAGGAGGCTTACTGATGTATGACTAGTCTCAAACTCTTGGTAGAAGCACGGTTTCTTGAAAGCCTACTTTTCAAGTGCATCGTATTCTCAAATCTGCCACCTGCTCCCTTTTCATTCCCTCTCTCTCTTCCTCCAAATGCTTTCATGTCCTCTTTGAATGGCCCTCGCTCTCTCCCTCCCTGCTTCTCCTTCTTCTCTCTTCTTCCAGATCACTTCAGACGAAGCCTCCTTCCCTTTCTCTGAGCTCTTTCCTCCCTCCTCTCCGTCTCCTTTCTTATCCTGGAAGTCCTCTCTCTTCCTCCACACGATGTACTCTGCCAACCTCTGTCTCTCCAACGCCTCCGCCCTCTCCCGTGCCACCACTTCCTCTCTCCTCTTCCAAATTATCTCTCTCTCCCCCTCTCCTCCTCCCTCGATTGCTCGCCCGTTCTCCAGGCTGCCTTTTTTAACAGTCCCACGCTACTATACTAAACACTGAACCCCGTCTTTGTGCCTCTTTAAGAATCGAGGATGGCTAGAGGCTAGACATGGTTACTTTAGACACCAATAAAAAAAAAACAAAAGAAAAACAAAGCTAGTAATTAAGATTGGGCTGACAGAAATGAGCCCGTTCCTGACTGAAGTTCCTGATATGGCTAAAACAACAGAGTCTGCCTTGTGTGTTCAAGTGTGTTCTGTAAAAATGGCTACCTCGGTTAAGATGTGTTTTTGTTGCAGGAGCACCATTTGATAGCGCTGAGTTAGAGATGCTGTCTGTGTTGAATACAGTGGCACAGTGGTGATGTAACACTGTAACATGTAGGTCATTGGCTGACGACAACTACCGGTGGGCTTGTTCTGATGGTAACACGACTCGATTGGTCAGTTTAGACCTTTCACCTTAGGGTTCCCTGAATGGAGGCTCATTGGTGTTGAACACGAACCTACTCACCCTGTTGTTAAGTCTATGCACAACCAGTCTCACCCAGTCACTTTAACACTGCTATAGTCATATAGCAAACCTAGATTACTGTTAGGTTACCTGAGAGAAGAGTGTTGACACAGCCGCATATGATACAAACAAGCCAAGAGTTAACATAAAAAAAACAATTTCCCTCCTTTACTAAGGCTTATCAAACAGGTTAGCTCTCAGATCTAATCTCTAGACACCACGTAGCATCTCATTTTCTGCATAGTCCATCCAACCTGAAAGACAGTCAGTTTATATTAACAGTCTCTCGCAAAGCAAAACCCCACAAATAAAACAGTCAGCAACAGTTTAACCTCAGCAGGAGGCAAGGCTACACCTACAGTCCACAGAAAGCTGGCTGGCCTACACCTTAGTGCTGTAGAGGCACTATTCATGTGTTGTCTTTTAGAATGGTCGAAGAGCATACATATAAACGTACAATAAAAACTAAGGTTGTAAATTTGGCACCAATATTTCAGTAATGCCAAGAAAAGAGACAACTTTTGTTCCCATTTCCCATGATTCAGAAATGAACTATGCCTGAATTATAGCGCTCAAGATTGCAGTGGGCGCTGGAGGCATGGCAAAGGAACAGTCGCCTACACTGGTCTAGCACCACAGAGGGATGATAGTCTAGCAGTTCTAGCTAGCCATCCATCTGGTCTTGGCCAGAAAGCACCATGGAGGATCCAGTTATGCTAATGCACTGCCAGATTGGCTGGGACGATCTCCAGAAAGCTGTAAAGAAGTACGGCTGTAAAGAAATTACAAAAGACACCCAGTATTGGGACAATCAAAAAGAATGCAAGACAATAAAAAAAAGAGAAACAGTCCGTTACACATCTAATAAAGCCAAAGTGGAACATAGAGAGAAGAGTAGCAATTTAAAAAGAAACTAATCTATCACAAATGGAGGAAAGTCCAGGCGTTCTGTAACAAAAGGGCTGCTGAAAAATAATGTCAACTCAGCCCAGGGATGTTTCAGAGCACAGAACACAGTGTGGGTCAGGTGACTACAGAGGAGATGAGCCTCTACATGAAGAAAAAACCCTGAGTCACCAACACATGAACACCACCAGTCATAAACTATCACCAACAGAACAGCTAATGATTGGTAATTAGAGGCCTTGGGGCCCAGCAGCTGCTCCCACTGATATGTACAAGTGAAATCAGAGTGCTAATCTAATTTATCCAGTCATGCCTGATAATAGCACATTGGCTTGACTGATGAAAATGGCTGTTGCTGTTGATAAAGTAGACTGAGCTGCCTCCTACAAGACAAACCCCAGAACGAGTGAGGGTGGACCTGAAACAACCCTGAATCATAGAATTCAAAAAGGGACAAAGACCATAAAGAATTAAAACAAACTCTGTGTAATTATTTTTAAATAAATTCAGACACCCCCCACACACAACCATAGACTAATCTAGTTTGCTGGGTCTTCTCTATTAAATATTTACAAGTGACTAATTGAACAGCACCAGTTTCAAAAAACAAGAAGTTTTTTTTTTTTTAACATCTAGTTCTGTCTGCAGCCGCTGCCCGTTGCTATGGCAACAGACATTAAAAGGAGATGCCTGCAGAGGATGTGTGCCGAGAAGTCCCGACAGCAGCAGAAATCTTCAAACAGATAACCGCTTTTGCAAAAAAAAAAAATAATAATAATCACGGCAAGCAATTCACTACTGCATCAACAGCTGCACGATAGAGCTGATTGTTTTTGTTTGTTCATCCAACAAACAACAACAATAACAAAAACGACCACAGACTCTTAGAAAGATCAATACAGTTCAGGAAATGCACAAAGTTTGACCGGCATCACGCCAGTCATAAAACCAAATCAATGTTGACATCCCAGACTGGCTGAACGCGTTGACGACAACCAGAGCATGTAAAATCTAATATCTCAAAGAGCAAAAATCATGCTCCTAATAACTACGAACAACAACCGCACCACGGCTACGTCTCCAAAACAAATAACGTTAAGAAAACTTGTATAAAATCAACCTGAATATTCAGTGCAGCTGCTAACAAAGATGATTGTATAACATCCTGCAGAGTAGATCCTCTGCTCATAGAAAACCAGAAGTCACAAAGAATCTGTACTTGCAGAAAAAAAAAAAAAAAGTGATTTAAAATTATCTTAATAAACTTGCCCCTGCTATTCTGTTTTTTTTATGAACAGCACAACAGTAGTTCATTACTTTGGGCTTAAAAAGCATGCAGTTGATAATTTATGGCCATTCATTTAAAGCTGGGTTTTAAATTCATTTTAGAGCCCCTTTGGTGTTAAAACAGCTACAAACTGTTCCGTCACTCGTCTCATCGAGTCCCTTCATCCACTCCCCAGAACAAAAAAGAAAAAGAAGGAAAAAAATTAAATAACGCGTGCTTCTCCTCTGATCCACTCTTCCGCTTGATCAATTCACAAAGTCACTGCCGGCAGGTCCTCTCCTCCGTTTGGCTGTCCTCCTCCTCTTCTCCTCCCCTCCTCTCGCCTCCTTTCAGCAGATGGTGAAATGGCAGCGCTGCCAGGATGGACAGTGGCACTCCTTCATTGTGCTCCTCTTCTGTCTCTCATGCCCACTTTACTTCCACCTCTGTCTGTTAGAGGAACGAGCACGCCGTCTGCCCACCCCTCCCCTCCTCCCGGTCTGGGTGGGTGATGCTGCCTCCCATTTTCTCTCTTACCATCATTCTCCCCCTCCCTCTCGATATCTCAGAAACGTGTGCGCCCTCCCCGTCTGCTCTTCTCCCATGCTGCCTCCTTCCTGTTTCCTCTTCCCCCCACCTCTGCAGCCAGAGTCTTTTAGAGGCATGCATGTGCATTCACAGTGAGATGCACATTAATGCACATGCTCGGGGGTCGGGGGGGGGGGGGGGGCAGGAAGGGGGCAGGAGGGGGGAAGAGCAGACGGGGAGGGCGCAGACGGGGGGGGGGGGGGGGGGGGGGGGGGGTAGACATGTAGAATGAAGGAAAGAAGGAATGGAAGCGAAGGAGGAGTTATACAGAGAATGGGCTGTTCTGAATATTCAAGACTCCTCCTGTATTCATGTTCAGCAACCTAAACAGAGTGAGTGACAGAGCAAAGAGCCCCCCCCCCCACCCCCCTACAGTGTGACAGGAGGTTGCCGAGTTTAACCTTGATGAAAGTAGACAAATTGAACTTAGTAAATATTCGTTAGCTCTTAATAAAACATACAGGGAAACAGGAAGCAAAGACCCCGGAGACAGAACTCAACACCAAAGTGTAGCAGTGCAACAGAAAGACCTCCCCACAAAGAGCACCTGTCAAGCGATGCTCTGAACACCGCACCGTCATCGTGTGGTTTAACCGTGCACTCAGGCTAAATCAGTCAGTGTGTTTCAGACTGACAGAAACCACCAGGAGCAGTGATGTGATTGGCAGTGACTGGTAAAAACAGCGCCCTCC